AGTCCATTGACATATGGCTTTGAAACAAGTTGAAATTTTATTGTCTTCTTTGAGTGCATAATAGGACTATCTCCGAGGCCTATATCTGTAATATGGATTTAAAGAAAATTTTTACCCTTTTCCTTACTTAGAAAATTTTACATTGTCAAGGCTTTTAAGCTCACCTGTCACAAAGTGACAGGGTGAGCTTTTGTGATTCCTTTTCGTCCGGCGTCCGTCCGTAAACTTTTACTTTAAATGACATCTCCTCATAAACCGCTGAGCCAATTTCATCCAAACTTCACAGGAATGTTCCTTTGGTGGTCACCTTTAAAATTGTTCAAATAATTTTATTCCATGCAGAACTCTGGTTGCCATGGCAACCGATAGAAAACACTAAAGATATCTTCTTTTAAAAAACCCAAAGAGGTAGAGCTTAGATATTTGGCATGAAACATCTTCTAGTGAGTGTCTATCAAGTTTGTTCAAATAAAAGCCCTGGGGTCAAAATTGGCCCCGCCCCAGGGGGTCATTGATTTTCCCTTTATGCATATAGTAAAAACTTAAAAACTATGCTTTTAAAGAACCCAAAGAGCTAGAGCTAAGATATTTAGCATGAAAGATTTTCTAATGGGTGTCTACCAAGTTTGAACAAATAAAAGCCCTGGGGTCAAAGTTGGCCCCGCCCCAGGGGGGGGTCATTGATTTTCCCTATATGCATATACTAAAAACTAATAAAATCGTCTTTTAAAGAACCCAAAGAGCTAGAGCTAAGATATTTAGCATGAAACATCTTCTAATGAGTGTCTATCAAGTTTGTTCAAATAAAAGCCCTGGGATCAAAATTGGCCCCGCCCCAGGGGTTAATTGATTTTCCCTATATGCATATAGTAAAAACTTAAAAAAACTTCTTTTAGAGAACCCAAAGAGCTAGAGCTAAGATATTTAGCATGAAAGATGTTCTAATGGGTGTCTACCAAATTTGTTCAAATAAGGGCCCTGGGGTTAAAATTGGCCCTGTCCCGGGGGTCATTGATTTTCCTTATATGTGTATTGCAAAAGCTTTTTAATAAAATCTTCTTTGAAAAAACCCAAATAGCTAGAGTTTAGATATTAAGCATGAAACATCTTCCAGTTAGTGTCTTCAAAGTTTGTTCAAATAAAAGCCCTGGGGTCAAAACTGGCCCTACCCTAGGGATGTCATTGCTTTTAACTATCTGTGTTTAGTAAAAACTTAAATAATTTTTTTTTTAAAAACTCAACGAGCTAGACCTTAGATGTTTAGCATGAAACATCTTCTAATGGGTGTCTACCAATTTTGTTCAAATAAAAGCCCTGGGGTTTAAACTGGCCTCGCTCTGTGGGCTTTTATACAGGTAAGCGAGTTCAGGGCCATCATGGCCCTCTTGTTACTATCAAGCACTAAGAATAGTCGAGCGTTGCTGTCCTTCCGACAGCTCTTGTTTCTCTTGGTCCCAACCAAATTGAGATAATGAGAGTTGACTTTATACATGTATTTTAATTTAGGTTATTTTCTTACAGTATAAAAAGTTAAGTTAAAAGGAAAGAATTGTGTATTAAAAGGTGTAAAAAAATATAACAAGATTCAAGTCTAACCTTTGCATTAATTATCCTGTTTTTAACCCAACCCTTTAGCTCTGTAGGTAGAATGTTTGGTCTTTGGAACGCAGGGTCGGGAGTTTGATCCCTGGACAAGCCGTGTTCTCCTTGACACAATGACATTATATCTGAAGTCATTTTTCATCCACCTCTGATTCATGTGGGGAAGTTGGCAGTAACCTGTGGAGAACAGGTTAGTACTGGTACAGAATCCAGGAACACTGCTTAGGTGATCAGTCCGCCTTAACATGACTGAAATACTGTTGAAAAATGGCGTCAAACCCAAAACAAACCAAACAAATATACCAATTGAGCTAACCAGCTATTAAAATATTGTCCTCTGTTCTAACAAGTCCTTTACGGAGATACATGAATAAGGGCAAAATCATTATAGAATTTAATGTACAAAAGGGATTTTGTGACAGAGTGGTTAAAGTCATTGACTTCAAGTTACTTACTCCTCATTGATGTGGGTTCGATGTCACAAAAAATGAAGAATTCATCATGTGAGGAAGCTGTCCTGCTGGCTTATGGAAGGTGGATGGTTCTGCCACGGTGCCCGAAATAATCACCTAGTGGCTCCTGGGGTCTTCCTCTGCACACCACTAAAGCTTTTGTTCAAATAATGGCTCATGCGTCAAAATTCGCCCCACTCAAGGAGGTTTTTGTTTTAACAAAGAAATATATTGTAAAACTTTATAAATCCTCTCAAAAAGATATTTTGATATATAGCATCGTAAGAGGTTACATTTATGACATCTGTTCAGTGTCTTATTTATTAATGCCCATTGCATGATATTTTTTCCTAACCATTTTCTTGTCATTATTGCTAAGAATTATTTTCACTATGTAACAACAGCATAGTGCTAGACATGGACACCTTCTTCTCTATATGTTTCGGGTGAATTTTTGTTCTTTCGAGATATTTTCATAATTAGTCAGAATTATTGATTTTATTAAAATGTGCATTGATTATTGATCAGCAGAAACATATCAACAATACATCAATATCGGTGGTTTTGATGGCAGCTTTAATAAACTCTAGGTTAAGTTTGAATCTGGGTCATGTATGGTCAAAAACTAGGTCACCAGATCATGGTAAAAGCTTGTTAACACTCTAGAGGTCACATTTATGATTGTATCTTCATCAACTTGTCAAAATAACAAGGTCACTAGGTCAAATCATAGGAAAAGCTTGTTAAAATTCTGGAAACAAAGTGATCCCTCGGAAGCATTAATCACAACAAAATAACATAAGAATTGCAGACTCGGTTTGATTGAGTCTGTACATGAGGGATAATGAATAAGTGCAACATCCCTCACGCCCCCTAGCACCGGCTTGAGCGGTACTCAATTCTCAACACTTTATAGTGCTGGCATCAATGATCCCGAAGGACCAGAAAATATAACAACACTGAAGTGAAGTACGGGGCAACTTTTTACGGCTGCCACACAGCACTTGACACCTGCTGTTGTGAAGTACAAAATTCTGGAAACAAAGTGATCCCTCGGAAGCATTAATCACAACAAAATAACATAAGAATTGCAGACTCGGTTTGATTGAGTCTGTACATGAGGGATAATGAATAAGTGCAACATCCCTCACGCCCCCTAGCACCGGCTTGAGCGGTACACTTAGAGGTCATATTTATTACTGTATCTTTATTTCAAATTATTGATCTTCAGGTGAAATATGAATCTTGTTCATGTGCTGTTAAAAACTAGTTTACCATGTCAAATCAGAGGAAAAGCTTGTTAACACTCTAGATGCTTTATAGCTGTATTTTCATAGAAGTTGGTCAGAGGATTAGTCTAAATGACTTGTTGGTCATCTTCAAAACTGGGTCATGTGAGGTCAAAAACTAGGTTACAAGATGAAATCAAAGGAAAGGCTTGTTAACACCCTAGATGCCTCATTTATGACTGTATCTTCATGAAACTTTAACAGAATGTTAAATCTTGCTGATCATTTGTCAAGATTGAATCTGGGTCATCTGAGGTTAAAACCTCTGTCTTAAGGTCAAGTCAAAGGAAAAGCTTATTAACACCCTTAAGGCTACATTGATGACTTCTTAAGTTCTCTATATCAGTGTTTGCCTTGTTTTTAGACTGAGCTATTGTGGTCACATTATGTCAGTTGTATGTCTGTCGTCTGTAAACTTGGTCAAACAGTTTATAATGATAAATAGGTCAAATACAAATCTGAGTCATGTGCAGTTAAAACCTAGGTCACTAGGTTATATTGCAGGAAATGCTTGTTTACACCCTAGATGTCACATTTATGTCTGTATCTTCATGAAACTTCCTCAGAATGTTATATATGACCTATAGGTCATGTTTGAAACTGGGTCATCTTAATGAACTCTAGATCATGTTTGAAACTGGGTCATGTGAGGTTAAAAAACTAAGTCACACTTATTTATGACTTTTTTTTGTTTGTTTGATTTGGGTTTTACGCCACACCGACACAGTATAGGTCATTTGGCGACGTTCCAGCTTTATCGGTGGAGGAAGATCTCAGGTGCCCCTCCATGCATTTTTTCAGGCACAAACGGACACCTGAGTAGAACCACCAACGTTCCATAAGCTAGCTGGATAGCTTCCTCACATGAAAGAATCTAAAGTCCCTGTAGGGATTTGAACCCACAGTGGTGAGGGATAAGTGGTTTGAAGTCAACGACCTTAACCACTCGGCCACGGACGCCCCTTTATGACTTATCTTCCTGAAACTTGATTAGAATGTTTGAATGACCTCTAGATCATGTTTGAAACTGGGTAAATGTGAGGTAAAAAGCAAGATCAGTAGGTTAAGTTAAAGGGAAACCTTGTTCACTCCCTAGATGCAACATTTATAACTTAGTCAAAGTGTTCAAATGTGTTAAATAAGGTAAGCAATTTAGGGTAATTTTTGCTCTATTGTTTTTCTACGCCTGAAGTGGACTTATAAATCAGGGCTTTAATTCACAGGTTGGGGAAGCAGCCCTACCTCTAAATTTTGGGGGAAATTACATGATATATTTGCAAAAGGGGGAGAAAAAACTTGATGAAAATTCAATTTTTTGGGAAAACTGCATGATTTTAAAGAATTTGTCGTTAGGGAAGCAGCCCTATAACGGCCCTTGCTATAGAAGGAAAAGGCCTGGTATTTATAATCGTCTCGGTCTGTCTGTTATCAACTTCCCTTCGACTCTGTAACTCTTGAACCCCTTAAAGGATTTCAAAGAAACCTGACACTTATTTTTAACATATTGAAATGGCATACAGAAGTCATGTAACAGATGGCTGGCTTCAAGGTCAAGGTCATACTTAGGGTTCAAAGGTCATATGACTTTGTTTTCCTTTCGCTCTGTAACTATTGAACCCCTCGAAGAAAACCTCACATAGATGTTTACCAGACTTGTAATGGCTTGTGATATCATTTCACTAAATTTAGTTTATTCTGTTTCTCTTTTTAGGTAATAGAGGGGTACGGCATGGAAGTTTAGACATTTTGATGGGAAAATATATTGGAATGAAAGTCACTGAGGAATACGAACAGCTTGATTCAAGTTCATCATCATTTGAAATGAATCATCCAGACTTGATAGATGCCAGGGAAGAGATAATAGCTGAAACAGTAGTATTTGCATTTTTACAGAAACAGATTAATTCAGGGTTTGATAATTTCCTGATTCCAACGATTGGAATATCGAAGGAAGATATATTGTTCTACCTATATGATCCTGATCATGACATTCTCCTTGAAAGTCCTCCATTTAATTTGTTTTTGAAAGGTTCAGGGAAGCCTTGCCTGTCATATGCTGCTGTTTTAGCATTATGGCTTACAATAAATTATCCCTACTTCTGCACAGGAATAACAAATCTCATGAAAGAAAGAGGTTTCACAGCAGATTTTTTTCCCACTTGGGTGATGATACTCGTATCCGACCAATCTATGAAACGGGCCTTCAACTTGGAGAATGTCGTGGGAAGAATAGTAAAAACTGAAGGGTACTATTTACCTCAAGATGGTGAACTTTGGGAGGTAGAAAAAGGAGGCGTACCAGTAAAGGAACAGTAACAAGATACGAATATTCACAAATAAAATCTGTCAAACTATTATTTGGAAGCAAAGAAAGCAACTCAAAGATTATAATAGCAGTCCCGGTTTTTAATGTGTTCCTGAGAGCCTGGGGTAATTTAGTGTGCAACACTTATCACACCCGTAACACTGGCTGGCTTAAAGGCAGAACTCTATTACGCATCAGTTAGATGACTCCAAAAGGACAAGAAAATGTAACAACACTGCAGCAAAGTATAGGCAGATGATTACATCTGCAACAGGACACTTTATGTGTGCTGTTGTAATAGTTAATAATACAATCTGTAAAAAGATCCTGTGGAAAGTTTTGAATGATTTGTTTTTAATTCTTCACCTAAATGGAAGATTAGTGTATATAGTTTTGATACTGAACATAGTTTGTATTATTCTTTTAATTTGTACATATTCCTAGATAATCGTTACATTATTCTCTACTTTGTTTGTGTTTCCTTTTTGAAAAACATAATATTTAAATGGATACCTTTATAGTTATGTCTCCCACTCGCTCCCTTAGCTCTGTAGGTAAGAGCGTTCGATCTAAGAATAGTCGCGATATTGATCTCTCGGACGAACTGCCGGGGGTGAAAAAATAAATAGTTGAACACTTAAACCCAAACTAAA